CTGTTAGGCAGCATAACATGCAAGATGAATAAAACTGTTCATATGAGCAACTTTGTACTAGCAATTTGCTTCTTTTCACTGCCAATTTGTTAGCTAAACAGCTCTGAAAGAATGAAAATTACCTGAAATGTCTACGGATAGTGTATTGGTGTCTAGTGAATTAATCAGTAAATAAATATATTCACTAATATTTTTTATTCTGATTTTTCAGGTAACAAAGACATCACAAACATTTTGATTAAAGAAGCTAAGATTCCAGACAAGTGTGAAACTCAACAACCACAAATAAAATTCCAATATAATGCTACCTATATTTCTGTCGTAAGTTTTTGAACTGTTTATACATTTTCTTTTGCATTTGTATTTGAGCTATGGAAGAAAGGTTTATATTTCCCCCATTTTGAGCATTATTATATCCATGCTATAATAACACCATATTCCATGGATGGAACAGAATGGCTGAATGGAAAAGGAATGACAAACATGCTTTGTTCTCAGAGAGACTTTTATACTATTAAGGCATACACATATCTATATATACATATTTATACATGTCCCATGCAGAGAATAATATATCATATGTCTACACAGCAAAGTGCAAGAAGAATAAAAAAAATAGGATCTTAGTGGAGAAGCCGTGTTTAGGACTCCAGATTTAAACTGGCCAAATTCATCTATTATATCTTCTTTCTTACAACAGATGATAGACTAAATGCAGAAATATATCTTTAATGACTCCTCTGACTCAAACTGGGGACTTGGACTGTCAGACTGTTACTGCAACTGCTATTCAATACCCTGTAATTTTATCTATACCTGATACATAGACATTGTAGTAGACACATGTATATGCATAAATATTTAACAGAAACATGCTCAGCTCAATTTGAATGTGTGTTATTTGAAGAGTATAAAATTTATAATAACTATATGTGCTTAAAAGCTGAAATAAATAGTAGGAGGCTGCATTCAATAAATAAACATTAGTGGGGGCTACATTTAATAAATAAACATTAGTGGGGGCTACATTTAATAAATAAACATTAGTGGGGGCTACATTCAATAAATAAATAGTAGGAGGCTACATTCAATAAATAAATATTAGTGGGGGCTACATTTAATAAATAATAGTAGGAGGCTACATTCAATAAATAAATAAAATAAGAATATTTCTTAAATCCCCTGAAAAGTATCTTCTACTGATCTAGCAATATGACTCAGCTGTTTTGTTAAATTTAAAAACAGTGGGACCTGTTGCAAAAGTCAATATGGAACATTTGCTTTCAACTGATGGTTATCAGTAAGTGCAGTCAACTGCAAAATCTGTCCTGGGTAAGATGATAAACTACATCCAACAGCAAAGCCTCTGAATAGGAGGTCTGGAGGAGCATGGAACCACCTCTTAATTGCTAGAGTTTCCAAGTTCACCCTGACCTGGGGTGGCAGCACCTGTTAGGATCCCAGCTATGGGTAAATAACTAACCCCCAAACTATGAAAGTGTAAAATTAAGTTTTAATACCAGAAATACTTTTCAGAGTAATAATTTGATGTTTTTTTTTAAAACTTACACTACAGTTCAAAAGTTTGAGGAAACCCCAGGTAAGTTTTTTAAAATAGCTCAAAAAGTAGATGTTTTTCAGTTTAAATAATAGAAATTATAATACATGGTTAAAAAAAAATGTGAGACATGTTTTTTTATTAGAAATTTTATTATGGCAAAAAAAGTATTTTATGATTTAATTTTGCTCTTGTCAAAATATCTTCCTCCTTAAGTACAAATTTTTGGCATTCATTGCAAAAGTTTCTCAAAGTATACATTTGATAATTGATTCCATTATTTTTTTAATGACTCTAAGATCTCTTTCATTTTATTTTTCACTCTTCTGTTAAGTTCATCTCATGCTAACTCTTCAAATTTCTGAACTGTAGTGTAAATCAAATTATTATTTTCAATGTGTGTAAATTTTATCTTTCTCTTTATTTAAATTATATCTAAATTTTATTTCAAGTTGAGATCTGCCAAGTAGGGATATCATATATTACTAATAATTTTCAATAAAAAGAACTTTTTATTTTTTCTGAAATCAATTATTGAGTATGTTCTCATAATGTGTTCACTATAATTTGAATCTAATTTGTTCATTTTACCAAATCTTAAATTATATAAATTTTTAAGTTTTTCTTTACAAACACTACAACTTTTTTTTTTTTTTTCAGGATACCCAGAGTAACATCACCGAAAATGAAGCTGTTAATTACTGCAGGCAATTTGTTCTGAATACTAATGCAGGCATAACATGTGGTAAATTGGCTAATATCAACATCCAAGGAATCATCAACTCTTGTGTTGCTGATCTTAAGGTTTGTTAAAAAGTTTGTGGCATGCTTCATTTTCTCTTTTTCATTGCTTACGTTTATATACACAACATGAAAGATCAGTTACTAAGACATCATTTATTTTCTTGAAAATTTAAATATCTGGGAAGTGTTCTAACAGAGGAAATAAAGTGTGACACTGAAATCCAAAGATGCATTCTAAAAGCTAAGCAAAATATCAACAGAAACAAAGAAAAGAGAACTGAACTGTTATGTAATATCTATTCTCCTATATGGCAGTGAATGCTAGACAATCTCTTCACAGATAAAGAAGAGACTTGAAGCAAAAGAAATGTGGTTCTACAAAAGGATGCTAAGGATACTATGGACCAATCAATTATGATGTTTTACAGAAAATTGAAACAAAAAGGAAACTTATACTTAACGTCAGGAAGAGGCAGTTGAAATTTCTGAGGTACACAATGAAGAAAGCAGGATTGGAAAATCTGATACTCACAGGACAAAGGAAAACAGTGTATAACATACTTGATGAGCTTAAGTAATTGGATGGTGATATTAGGAGAAATAATGAAAAGACAAAATTTATTAAGAGCTACAAAGGACAGTAATTTGTGGAGAGCCATGACCGCTTACATCCTGAGGGTACATAAAGAAAAAGAGGCATATAGCACATGTCTTCAAATTGATATATTTCAGTTGACATTCCATACATATTCCTTTGGTAAGAAGAGCCTCCCACTCTATTACTTTCTAGAACACTGGTAAAATGCTACCCCAAACACTACGATCTTAACTTCTTTGTCTAGGGTCGATCATTATCTATATCTTACCATATGCTTGTAATTCATATCATGCACCTAATTCAGTAACCTTCTACCCTGGGTGGCTCTTAAGGCTAGTATTTGGTGAACATTAGAAAAGTTAGATGCCCTTAAAGAACTTACAAACAGACAAAGGTGGTACTCAAGTGAAAGAACAACACGCACGTAGATGAAAGAAGAGAGATTTATTGTAAAAAAGAATACACTACTGAAAGACAGGGAATCAGGTGGCAGGCTAGTAATTCCTTAAGCAAGCCTCCAGGTATATCCTGGGCTCACTATGTATAGCTACTGATATAGTCAGTCCATATAGGCGATAGGGAGTGTGGGACATTCCATTACAACAAAAAGTACATTTGTTAGCATGTACAAACTTAAGCAAAAAGTTTAAGAAACACAAATTTTCCAGCCAAATTTTGTTGTAAGCCTCTTCACTTATGTTTCAATCTGCACACATGGGACGGGGGATGGGATGAAAACCTAATAGCAGAAGTTATGACTCACAAGACAAAGGACAGAATGAAAAGAACAGAAGAAAGGCCTCCCTGTGAATGACTGATGCACGTCATTAGAATTCTTCAGTTGTCTACCATCATAAATTAAGTGAAGTCACCACATGTCATGTATCAGCTAAGATTCATTTTCTATATAAAATATATTTTTATAAAATAAAAAAGGAATATGAGCAATAGCTATGACAGTATGAATAGTTATGATAAAAACAACTGATATTAGAATGAAAGAAAAACAAGTAAAAATCTATAATTATCAACTGAAATATATAAATTTGAAGAAATATTCAATATACTTTCAAAAAAACATGTATTTTGGAAGTGCTATAATGAAGAAGTTGTAGTAGTACGGGGCTACATTCAATAAATAATAGTAGGAGGCTACATTCAATAAATAAATAAAATAAAATAAAATAGAAATATTTCTTAAATCCCCTGAAAAGTATCTTCTACTGATCTAGCAATATGACTCAGCTGTTTTGTTAAATTTAAAAACAGTGGGACCTGTTGCAAAAGTCAATATGGAACATTTGCTTTCAACTGATGGTTATCGGTAAGTGCAGTCAACTGCAAAATCTGTCCTGGGTAAGATGATAAACTACATCCAACAGCAAAGCCTCTGAATAGGAGGTCTGGAGGAGCATGGAACCACCTCTTAATTGCTAGAGTTTCCAAGTTCGCCCTGACCTGGGGTGGCAGCACCTGTTAGGATCCCAGCTATGGGTAAATAATTAACTCCCCAAACTATGAAAATTACCTGCTATACATTTTTTAAAAAACAAAATATTGCCAGCAATAGAAATCTTGTCAGCATTAAATAACCCATTGAGGTTGACATGCCATAAAACAAAACAAAACAAACCAAACCAAACCAACTTTAAAGTATAGAGCAAGAGGCTCAAACTGTGAGAAAATTATGGAAGGAAGATTAATTCCTTTTTTAGAGGAAGATGACAAGACAAAGAAAATTGTTATCTATAAAACTGACCATCCTGCAGGAAGGAAAATAGAAGGAACAAAATGGGCCTTGCAGAATAAACAGAGACAATAACAAATGAACTGTGCAGCACCCCCTCTCAACTTATGCCACATCTCTACTTTGCTCACTTATAACAGTAGGTTACAACCCAAGAATAAAAATCTGACTTACTGCTAGAAATTTTGTTCTTCACTTGTGGGTAGAAATCTGGCTGAAGAGTAAATTTTAAACTACAAGTGTTTGACTGTTGAAATTGCACCCTGTCAACGAATTTAGGTCTGGTCTGAGCTGCAGTGCAACACTTATCAGCTCATTAATACTAATACCAGCATTCTTAATGAGAGGTTTTACAACCATATCATGTTGAAACACTAGTTCCCATATGATCACTGAAGTTAAGCAATATCGAGACTGGTCAGTACCTAGATGGCTGACCATTTGGGGATACCATGTGATGTAAACTTGGATGTGCAGGTTGTGTAATGGATAATGGCTCGGAATTGTTAATCAGAAAGCCAAGTTCCAATTCCCGTTGGGTATGTTATATTAACTTACACACAATGGGTTAATTAGTAAGACTTGTATCACTGAACTATTATTATCTCAAAAAAAATTTATACTCTCTAACACGCAGTAACCCTCGTGTCTTAGTGGCTTTATTGCCTTGTTTGCAGTGAAATGTTTAAAAAAACAAAATTCATGTAAAACTATTAATGTTTATAATGTATTAACAACATAGTTATACTTAAACAGTACTTTCATAATTTTCTTTTAACATTTAACAGCTCACTGGTGACTATGTCTGGAGCACAGCTGCACTGAATGACCTCAAAGAAGATTGTCTTATAGAAATTGTCACAAATACAACCTTGTGGCAGAAGACGGAGGATGGTGACACTAAATTACCTGATACCATTGTCAAAAATCTCTGTGTCAATGATTGTAGTAAACAAGGAAAATGTGTAGATGGTAAGTATAATAAGATGGTAATATAATAAGTATATTAATATAATAAGAAGTTGTTTTTTTTTCTCCTTTTATGTTTCACGAATAATTAGAGCACTCATCGTTTATATGTTATAAATTATTGTAAACATCAATACATTGAGTTAATCAGCTTGCTTCTATTTCAAAATGCCTGCATATTTCCAGTCTTAATAGAGTACAAAAGCGTCTCTGTGTCTTTGTAAGTGATGAATTATCTTCCGCCCTACAACCCCTTTCCCCACAGATGAAACATTGCAAAACTCTTACTACTCTATTGCTATTTCCATGGAAAGTGTTAAGATGAACTACATTTCTTAGTTACACCAGTTTAAACTTCAGCTAAGACACATTATAGTGAACCATCCTCATTCTTTCATATTTCACTGGTTCATTCCACTGAAAGAACTTCCCCATGAAACTGACTCCTAAGAGGATGTTTCCTCAATCACAACAATCTTAACTTATTCAAGTCTAGTGTCAACCACTATCTTCCCCACATATCCCTATGAACAGTGAACCCTCTAACTCGAGTGACTCTTGAGCCTGGTACAGAGTGAACATTATTATACAATAAGTGTGTGTGTGTAAAGATAGATATATTTCTGTATATAATTTAAGTGTACTTATATAAGTATGCCAGTCTGCTAAAGTGGTTTACTGATCCCTATTGCAGACACCTATTCAGTCACATTTATGATTGTTCAACACACACAAAGTCAACATGTGGCTTATATTACAACTATGCTGAGCAGAGCCTTAGTTGTAGTTTTTGGGAGAAAAGTCATAATCTGAAAATCTGATCACTAGTTGGACAAGGCCAGTACACTCAGGCTCTCCATCACAATGACGTAATTTAACCATTGATGACTTGCAAAAATTTTTTGATTGTTTCATTTGCAAGGCTAGGGTCACCTGTGGTATCATTTTTATGTACTTCCCAATGGTGAAACAAATTGGGATCATCTTCTCAGGACAATATTATCAAAATGTCACCTACTTAACAAATCAATCATAGTGAGATTCAAACCCAAACGTCTTGGTTAGAATATTAACGTTCAACATACAGTCTCATGACATGTCAGATATATATTGAATAGCAATTATAACAAATGTTATTTTCACAAGATCTAAGTTCATATGAATTACTTCATGTGAGTGTGTATATGGGTGTGTGTGTGTGTGTGTGTGTATATATATATATATATATAGATACACACACACACACACACACACAGAAAGTGCGTATCACTAAGTCCATAGACTGGCACAATTATTTGTGGAATTTTCATGTAAAATTTTCCTTAATGTTTGACCTGTATGATCTATAGAGAAGTGCTGAGTACAATGAGAAGGAAGGTGATTATGTTGAAAAACGTTTGTCATGTAAAATAAGTGCTTTTTCATTGTTAGGTGACACACTTACTAATATACACACACAGACATGTGTCAGTAGGATATAGAACAATATATATGTATATATATATATATATATATATATATATTATAGATGTAGAACATTATCTGAAAAAGTGAAAATAATACGACAAAGTGGAAAAGCTTTTACAGACAGTGTATTTCATCTCTTTGCACAAGAATACAAGGCACACTTGAATGTAAGGAAAGTGCATTGATATTTTTGAAGAAGGGGTAATAAATAACTTTATCAGATCCTATGGCTAGAAGGTATTTTTGTCTTTGTTTGTATTGAAGCCATTAACATCTGCTGGATGTGAAACTTCAAATTAGCCCACTCTGAATAGATATGTTTTTTTTTCTTCGATTAGCTAATGTATCACATTGTGCTACTGTTGCTTTTGCAATAATTGGTCATATGGTATATGTGTTAAGTCTGAGTTTACCATTGAGGATTGTGCGCTCATTGCACTTTCAATGCATTTTCTTCTTCATGAATTCTTTCTCTTCTGACCAGAATGGGATTTATTGAGTTGAAATAATATATATATCCAAGTATAGGATTGGTGTAGACGGAATAAAATTCGAATAACCAAAAACATTATTCTTAAAAGAGTGATCAATACAGAGTAGAGCAAATATTATTTATTCAAAAATTATAATATAAACATGTTATAACATTACAAAAATAAGCATTTTATTTCAACACTTAACGTAAGGAAGAGGCAGTTGAAATTTCTGAGGCACACAATGAAGAAAGCAGGATGGTGTCTTCTCAAAATGGTGTTGTTATCACTTAAGAAGACACCAGAAGCGTCAAAACAAAATGAGTATTTTTGTAATGTTTAACATATTTATATTATAATTTTGGAATAAATATGATATATATATATATATAATGTAGATATTTTACCATATATTTATACACATTGCTGTTGATTATCTTTTAAAATGAGTCTGAATTTTTTATATTTGTTTATTTTTCCATAAGACGATAGTGCTTTTTTTTTTTTCAGGATCATGTGAATGTTTTGGGGATTTTGTTGGTGCAGACTGTTCCCTTAAGAAATCAGATCCTCCAACTCTAAGCCAGAACACCACCATTGTCATAGACAACCGCTTTTTGAAGATAGTCAGAATTACTATTGAAGGTGATGGCTTCATTGATTCAGATAATCTGACATGCAGGCTAGAAAAAGCTATAGTGAGTATATTTTTTTTAAAAATTAAATGTTTCAATCAAATTGTATGTCATTGGTATCAGGGATAACTTGAAAAAAAAATCAAGTACCAAATTTTTTTATTTGTGAGTGTGGTCAATGATTTTATCTTAGAAAAACCTCTCGAAAATCTGGTCTTACATTCAAGGCTGAAATCAGAGCACCTCATACAAAATCAAGCATACCAAGAGGACATATTCTCAGATCTGTATAGGTTGCATTCAGATTATTGTCTAAAGGTGTTAGAAACAATTTTCATTAGGCCACAGAAACCATTTCTGTATAAACAGAAGAAATGGTTTCTCAGCTCAGTATGGTTTGTCTGCAAAATATTTCATTTTCAGTATATTTAATTTTTTATGTTTAATTAATTTTTCTATGTTTCTTTATATTCAGTTGTACATTAAAAAAAACATTTTACTTTCCTCGATTGAGTTCTAAAAAATGATGAGCAATAACTGGTTAACTCCTATTTTTTTTTCTTTTTGTATTTTTGCATTTTCTACTATTTTATCTTCTTTTTAATAATGTCTATCTTGTATACAATTATTAAATTTTGTACCTCCAACAAGATTTTCAAGGAAGATTTTTGTTGAAATTATTCTTATTTTAGTCTGATTTTAAAAAGGGCATAAGAGAACTTTTCAGCAAGTTTTGTATATTGAAAGGGAAAAAGATAAAACAGGAATGTTATATATAAAACAAAGATATGAAGAAAAATTATTTATCTTTTGTTTTTATGGCTCTTTCTGTATATAAAAAAAAAAACAGTGAATAACACTACATGGTTAGTCTTGTAATGGACAAAAAAAAAATTCATTGATTTTTATCTTAACTTTGAGATTATCAGAATGCCAAATTTGATCTTGCTGTTGACCAAATTTCAAACTGTTTTCTAACTGCACTGTAAATACCAATCTTTCTTTTTCTTCACTATACTTTACCTTTTCATTCCATAGTATTCTCTTGGTAAAGTCAGAAGAGATTCATACACATTCCCATCATTCCCCCAACCCACACAAAAAAGAATTGAGATGTTTTATTAAATTCTTGGGAGTGAATTAGGCTGAGTACTTTTCAGCACCCCTTTGTATATATTAAAATGGATAAAAATAAAACAAGAGTATTCTATTGTCACTGGGCTTAACCAGGATACATGCAAAATGAAAGATATACCAAAAATAAAATAACCAGCTCAGAAATATATGCAAATGTTATTTAATATTACAATCTTTCAGCAATACAAATTACTCTCAGCTTACAGCCATATCATGTTGAAACCAGTTCTCTTATGATCACCGAAATTAAGCAACATTAAGCATGGTCAGTACTGAGATGGGTGACCGCTTAGGAATAAAAAGTACTGTAAATTTGTATGTGTGGGTGGTGTTATGGATAATGACTTGGACTTTAAAATTGGAGAACTGAGTTCCAACTCCAGTCCAGTTCCTTATATTCACATATATGCAAAAAGCCTTGGGAAAAATATGAATTTACCTCTTCTCCTTCCAACTATGGGTTAATTAGATGAATCTGTAATCGTAAAAATCATTATTATCTCTAAAAATTCTTATAATCTAAGAAATATTTTCTGGCATTAAATAACCTGCTGTAGGTTGTTATGCCATAAAAAACAAATCAGTCAATCAACTCACTCTCTATCCTGTCTTTCAGTTTATATTTCTGTTTCTTTAAATTATTTTTCATTAAAAAAAATTCTGCTATATTGTTATGTCACTGTATTTTAGTTTTTATGGTATTAAACCATGTAAAAAATACTTCAAGAGATCATTTAAGCTTTGAATAAACATAATACAAATTCAATTTATCACTTTTTTAAAATGTTATTTTTTTTTTATTATTCTAACCTTTTATATAACAACTAAATTTTGTCATTTTTCATATTCTCTTTATTTTTCATATTTTTATTTTCAGAAAACCAACTCTGATTTTACAAAAACTGGCAACTATACCTATGTTCAAGCTCAGTATATTTCTGAAGAACAGATTATTTGTACTTTGGACAACAAAGATTCATTCTTTATTGCAATTAGTAATGACATGAAAACCTGGTCTGTCAGTGTTTTGGTTATCCAGTTTAATTCAATATGTGAAAGTTGTATACTTAGGAAATGTGTACCAAAGGTGAGTACTATCAATAAAGTAGAAATAGCAGGAATTTTTCCAGTTTACTTTTTTTAACAGTTTATTGAGTAAATTATTATTTTCAGAATGTTAATGATAATATTATTTTATAAAAATGCAATTTACAGATATTTTCTGGTATGATACAAAATGTTGATCATTGTTCCAGCATCTTTGAGTTTGAAAATATGAAGTTTCATACATCTGAGATTGAACTGTAATAGGATTAGGTAGTAATAACACCATACGAAAATATACACTTTCCTCTTTACTAAGTGAGTGACAAAGAAAACACTCTCTCCCTCTCTTCTATTTATTTCCTTTCCTTCTACTGTTCCTATCCTCGGTAACAGACATGAACCCAGAGTTAGTTTATGTGGGTCAGTGAATGTCATAAAAAAATCAATCGGTGGCAACACGTCTTGCCAAAAATCAAATGGGAAGCATGGATGTGTCAGCCCCAATAAAAAGAAAACCACATATAAGACTAGAGACGCCACAGTGGAGAGGAACTTGATTCAAGGTAGCAGTTTGAGACCCAAGGGTTGGTGATTCATCAGCTGTGAGCTGATATACAACTCTAGAAAGAAAGAAGTAAGGATGAATGCAAGAAATTAATTTCCATTAACCAGAAGGAACACAATCACCCCTGTATGAACTCTGAAATGACAAAAAAGAACTATGACGATAGTCAACCATTTTAAACACTGTAACCCAATGGGGTCAACAATGAATGGTACTATAGACGGTAAATTTGGCCTTTACTTCATTTCTATATACCATAGAATTATAATAGTCAAAAAGTAATTCCTTTTATAATTTAACTTTAATGAGTCAAAATTTCTAGTTGTCTTTTATTTAGATTTTTTTAAATTACAAACTAAAACCCAAGGGAAAAAATTTTAGAGTTTTCTTTTCTTATCCATAACCCACTTTCAAAATGGCTGCCTCATTGGATAGCAAAAAATTCAAATAGGATTTTTTTGGGGGATGAAGAAAGTATTGCAAACATTCACAAGAGGTTAATGAATGCCTATAGAAAGGCTGCATTTGATGTTAGCAAAGTGTCTCCCTGGAGAACATGAGTATAATGTTGTCACTATTACATCCCAGAGCAAAAAGAGATTATTTTCCTTTCCTTTTTATAGTCCTGAATAGAACATCACCTAGCAGGCATCCTGATAGATGAGGTGGAGTAATCCCTACAGACTAAAATCTAAATATGTTCAATGTTCCTTACCTAAAAAATCAGACAAAATTTATTAAAATATTCATGCAAAGATGGTGATTTATTAAATTTCTCTGATTTTTTTAAAAAATAATTTTTTTTAAGATTGAAATGTTTTAGACTTAAAAAAATTAAAGATATTAAAATTTTAAAAATTAGAAGAGAATTTTTAAAAATTTTACTTGCTGTTAATTGTAATGCAATTGTTAAAAAAATATATTGTATCTATATTCCATGATTCTTCACTTCAGAACAATATTTGCACCATTGGTGGAAAATGTTATGATGATGCTGCAGTGAACCCAAGTGATGCTTCTCTAAAATGTGACATAACCAATTCCAAGACAAATTGGACCAAAATAAATCGTAAGTAAATAGCGTCCTGGGTATGATTATAAACTACATCTGCATTAGCAAGACGATAAACTGCATCCAACAGCAAAGCCTCTGATCAAGAGGTTTTGAGGAGCATGGAACCACCTCTTAATTGTTGGTGTTCCCAGATCCACCCTGACCTGGGGTGGTAGCACCTATTAGGGTCCCAGCTATAGGCAAATAGTTAACCTCCTAAACTGGGATCAAAACAGCATGAAAATGTAGAAATAGGTTTCAATACCAGAAATACTTTTTTGTAAAATATTATTACTGGAAATACATTATTACCAGCAATACATTTTAGAAAAAAAAAAGTATTACCAGCTATACGTTTTTTTTAAGAAAATATTACCAGCAATAGATCTTTGAAGAAAAAAAATTATTACCAGTAATAAAAAATTGTTGGCATTAAATAACCCATTCATGTTGGTATGCTGTAAAACAAACCAAAGCATAAGTAAACATAACTACGTATCAGTAGGTTGAATAAGAAATGCACAAATGTTATTCAGCTTAAGAATCCTTGACTTATATTTTGTACCTTGTGCTGACAAATAACTTGCTTCACAATCATAAAGAAGTATTACATATTACTGTTAAACACTGCATAATAAGAAGAAATATAACTAAAGAGGTACACTCTCTTTACCAATAACTACAGTATAGGAGGAATTGTTTATAAAATTAAAAGAATTCTAAACATATGCTGAAACTAAGAAAATATTTGACCCTATCCAACCATCTTACTTGGTTGTTTACTTTGTCAATAGTTTACCTGGAGTTAAGTCTTATCACTATTTCTTCTCATTGTTATAGACAAGTGTATGGTTGCAAGAAGGAAATACGACAACAGCAGAAATAGATTTACATGATTTATTTCAATAGGAACGTGTGGGTTTGGGACAGCTACCTTGTGATATAGTTCATAAGCTGGCTCCCAGTCTGGGTTGATCTTTCATAATAGTCCACACTGGTTGGCATGGCGCTCCTCCTGCTGACTGCTGCTGACTGACCATGACAGGTCTCTTCCCTGGCCTCCTGTTGACTGCTCTTGTACTTCCCCATGTGACCCCTTTTATGGCGTTTTTTTATGGCTTAACAGGCTCATAAAACAACGAGAGTATAATTTTAGAGGGAAGCATTTTTATTGGTCGAAAAATAAAAACACTTTAAAATATTATTTTATTTTTCGACTGGAACTTGTGCGTCGGGCTTATGCGTAAATGACGATATTTGCCTGCAAATCAGCTGAGATATGTCTTATTTTATTTTATAACATCATCCAGCCTTGACTAATCCAGTTTTAAGTAAAGTAGTAAGTAATTTACAAGGACAAAAATGTATAGAAAGTGCATTTCTGAGTTTCCCCACAGTAAATTTGCATTCAGTTTTTTTACATTTCACCTTTCTTAAGAAATCTGTTGCTGTAGTGTAGGATACTTAAAAACAAAAGCAATAAAAACAAAAGAATTGAGATCTTCTAAGCTGTGCCTCTAGATATGTGGGACACCAGGAATTTTACAAATTAAATTCAAAATTTAGTGTTCCTACATTTTCAGTGATTACTCATGGTGCATAATTAGACCCAATGTTTTCGTTTATATTTCCTGCTTCACCTCCATTTTAATACTAGTAGCTCTTTAGAATTAAATCAGCGTCAAGTGTGGTCAGTACCATAATGGTGAGCACTTGGGAACACCATGTGCTGTAAGCTTGGATGTGTGGGTCATGTAATGGATAACAACTCAAAATAGAAAATCAAAGAGTGAAGTTCCAATTCCAGTTGGTTTCATTATATTCACTTAGATACAAATACCCTTGGGATAGGTATAAATCCATACCTTCTCCCCCCTGCTATGGGTTAATTAGTAGGATTTGTATAAGTAAATCATTATTATCATGAACAAATTCTTACAGTCTAAAAATAACCTGCAAAGGGTTGATAATCTGTAAAGAACAAATCAGTCAATCATTCTTTAATATTATCTTGTGCTTTAGTGATATATAATGACTTTCTCAAACTCATAAGATGGACAGAGGGACAGGGGAAAGCAACATGTGACATAATGGGCTTGAGCAAATGGATTGCAGAACAGAGTTTGGGAAAAATAAGAAAAAAGACAAAATTTATTCAGAGCTACAAGGGACAGGAAGATGTGGAGGGCTATGATCGCCTACATTCTGAAGGAACACGAGACATAAAAGAAGAATGTCTTCAAGCAGAAAATCAAATTCATATATTCAGATATAAAATTGATTGAATTGTGTTTTTTTATGTTTTATCAATCTTTTGTGGGTTATTTAAAGTTAAGGTATATTTTGGATGGTAATTAAATCTTTGTTTTTACAAGATTTTTTTTTTTTTTTTGATAACTATGATTTTAAACCAATACAAACTCAGAAATATATGCAAATGCTATTTGACCCATAACAGTGGGGAGGAGATGAATTCATACCTTTACTGTTCCCATTTTTGTGTAAATGAACGTAATGAACTCAACTGGAATTCAAACTCTGCTATCCAATTTCTCATTGCAAGCTGCTAAATAAATGCAGGAAGACTGTTGCACTACTCTTCTCACCAACCTTAAAACTAATATTCAAATTTATACCATATGC